AGCACAGATAGCCAATTGTGTAGCTTTGTGCTGAACTATAAACACAAAAAAGAACCAAAAACTAATAAAAAAATCAATATATTGTAGTAATTCTGGTAAATTAATGTTCTGCATTAGTAAAAATGGTCATTGTTTCACATTAAACGAATTCTTGCAGGCTATTTATTTTTCATTGGACAACAAATTTTTGCAACTTGGCCAACATGTCTTCCAATGAATATAAGGAATACTTATGCAAAGTAACTTCAGCCCAAGTTGCAGATTTATATTTATTTGAACTAGAATTTTCATGAACAACAAATCGTAGTAAAAAGGGCTATATATGTATATATATATATATATATATATATAATCTAACTTTGCATTTTAGTCGCGCTTGTAGATCTATCGATGGTAAACTTATGCCTAATTATAAAGTTTTTTTTTTTATACAGCCGAACAAATTAATTAAACCCGAGTAGGATAAAATTAATCCAACGTTAAATACTAATCTGTATACGTCTACTTTCTATATATTTTTGCACATTTATTCACCATCTGAAAATAGACATAACGAAAAACAAATGGCATTATCTGCATTTAAATGTTAGAATACTTCATCAAATATCCAAGTTCAAAGTTTTCATCAAAACATATACTTTAATTTTGAAGTTATAAACTTTCTTTTACAGTTTTTTTATAGTTGATACAAACTATAGAACATTTCCCTACATAACATAAGATAACGTTATTAGTTAAGTTAAATTACTTTTTTGCTAATTACTTTAATTATTATTTTGACTACTGTCTTATTATCATTAGTGAACTTTCTCGAACCTTATCTCGTTACATTTTCGGCTGTTACTGAGGGTTTAACCTTATTTATTACTTCCTGTTGCTCGCCCTCCATGTGTTTTAAGTGACGGAGGTTAATTAAAGTTGAATTAGTTGTGTTAGACACACCTCATAGTATGTTTAATATACAGAGACGTCGGAACTCCACTTTTACATAATTGACTTGTATAGCAACTGTAAATTGTATTCATATATTAATTTTCTAGCACCCCCACTTTGCAACTCCTTCAATACACCACTGAATTATATCATTTTTATTTTTGTTAAATTTAACACAATTATATTTTAATTAGAGTACCAATATTTTATCTATGTTATACGATTCGGGTATTTTCGGAATTTCTTATTTATTACTATTTCGTATCTTTATAAAAATTTGTTTTTGCTGTATTGTACTGCTACCCGATTCTATAGCTAAACTGTAACATGTGTCGTAGTAATTTATCTCGGATGTAAGCTACTCTAAAATTACACTGTTGGGAGCTGTTTAATGGGCTTTATGGGTCACAAGATGTTGTTAGGGTTTTTTATAAAGATTTGCTTATACAAGGTTATACTGGGGTTGACTTGTCAAACGAACATTAAATGTAAACAGTACTCGAAGCTAACAAATAGTATTTATTGGTTCCGTAAATAAAAAAATGGGGGCAGCGTGGCCCAGTGACAAGTGCTTTGGACTCGTAGTCGGAAGGTTGTGAGTTTGAGGCTTGCCTCCGTTTTACTGTGTCCTTGAGTAAGACACTTCACTCCGATTGTCTCAGTCTATCCAACCATATGATGGTTACCAGCGGGTAGCTGGGAGTTAATCAGTGATTGACTGGCATCTTGTACAGGAAGAGTGTGTCATCATTCTCTCCCGCATATGTCATTGATACCGGACTATAACATCGACCCCAATGTGCTGCCTCGGCATGGGATGGATTTAAGATGGAGAGTTCAGAACAGCAGATTTTGCTTCATCACAAAAAGAAGTAGGTGGTCTTTTGCGTTTATCAACACGAACCTGAAGAGGTCAGTTGGCTTTCTCAATGTACTATTTCCCACAATTACATTTTTTTATAGTTAATAACATTTCTTTCTTCAATTTTAAGTACAAGATATTTGGTCTTTGTTAAAATGTTATTTTAGAACTATATATATTCTTTTTAAGGATAACATGAATACCATATTTTATACAAATACGATGAAGTTTAGGCCCAAGTTCAGGAATGGAGGGCAATACGGCAGTTGGTGGTAATTTCTTCCTTCTACTTTAACATTAGGACTTTGTTGACGTTCCATAGCAGTCCTTAATTGTTGGTGGACAAAGTGGAATAATTGTTTTGACAGAATAATACGAAATGTAATGTTGTTCTTCTAAGAAGATGTGGTCACAAAGACGGAGAGCACATAAGAAAAGAGATATGATAACACTTTTCTTTTTCTAAACCCGAGTACGTTAGAAATAATCCAACGTTAAATACTAATCTGTATACGTCTACTTTTTGCATGTATTTTTCCTTCTATTCTATTCTATTACCAGAGTATGAAAGACGCTCGATTGTCATTTTCCATTTCATTTGTGATGTTGGTTGTTTAGATGATCACTGAACACTATCATAGAGTACGAAAAATAGTTCTAAATCGTAAGTATGGTGTGAACGTATCGTAACCATAAGGAAGGTTTGAGAAGAGATGTGGTAATTGCTCGTTCTTCTAGATCCTTTATAAAGGTTTGACAAGCAATAGAAGAAAAAGGAGAGCCCATTTATATTTCGTCCAGTGTGTGATAAAACTTAGCTTTTACAGATAAAGTAAGAAGTGGGAGGGCATATATCTAAGCTTTTTTGGTAGGAGATTTATATAAACTTTATCATGATGTTAAAATCGTAAAAGTTTCAATGCTCATACGAATAATTGTGTCAGTGTCCTTGATTGGAACTCTAATAAAGAGAGATTGGACATCAAAACTAACTCAAATATCATCATCAGTAATCTCTACATCATGTAGTTTTATATGAGATCAGAAAATTTCTTAAGGTAGGAGTCTGTTTGTTCAGAGGAATGGATAAACTGGTAACGAGACGAGCTTAGGTATATAGAGATTAAATATGATTTATTAAAACGATTTTGGAGCCTCAATACGTCGTTAAAGTCCATATTGTCACGTCCGACTTTTGATACTGACCTTTGTGTTTATGGACTTTCACCTGTTACAATACGCCGCACTTTGTTGATCATGGCTGGTGTTGCTGATCTCTCTCTAGATGGTCTCGATGTCCCAAGTTTTTCCAATGCCATTAAAGTAAAGGGGTACCCACGTTTTGGAAATTCTAAATCTCCAGTCTTAAAATATGTTCATTATCTGAGCGTATGAATATTTGGCTTCGGAAAGGGCTGTTACACCATCTTCTCGAAAGCAACCAGTTTTCGATTGCATCACACTACCAATGAACTCCAAACAATGTCAACATATAGTTCTGATGCATGTTGTTCCATAGCGACTTTATATCGGCCACGGTTGTCAACTGACTTGCTAAATTGCATATGAAGACTTATACCAAATCCCCTTTATGAGGACTATTAATGTAGCTCACAATAGTTACTAATGTTTTTGTATAAGACATGATATTCATGTCATCTTTAAAAAAAAACTTTGAAATACGATTTAAACTAAGACCAAAGATCTGGTACCTAAACATGAACAAATAAATGTCACTTATAGCATAAAATATTATTGTGGGAAGCATAGCATTGGGTGAACCAGCAGGTCTTCTCAGATTGGTATTTATAAACACAAAAGAACGCCTACTCCCTTTTATGATGAAGTAAAATTGAATGTTGCTGAATATTGGTTTTGTCGCAAAGAAAAAAAAAATTCAATTAGATAAAAGTGAGCTTATTGAAAATGAATCAAACACCACAAGAAAGAAAATAAATAAAGCCACACATATTAAGACAAGAAATCCTAGACCAAAACACGGCTTGAATCATAACTACGGCAAAATACATGTCAGTGAATTGTTGGATAAAATTCTGCTGTCTTAACATTGTGTCTCATATGCTTATATGCACTGCGTTATGAGTTGATTATATTTACTCGTAATAATTCATTCCTTTGATCTTGATATATTTACAATAACGGTCTTCTTTTTTAAGATCCGGTATAATTGTATGTAAGTGTCAATAATGTATGTTTTATATCTAATTTTCGTTACAGTTAATCATTAGTTAAAGGATATAACGATCCATCTTTTGTTCGTTTATATGCCTTTGACATGGAGTAATTAAAATTATATCCAATCCAACTTAAGTTTAAAGTTTTGGATTTTGAATATCCAACTTTTCAAAGAATGGAAGGTACTTATAACTTTTAAGAAATTTAAGGTAAAATGATAGGCCTAAATAAAACTCGAAACTGGGCAAAACTATTATAAATTATGGGTTTATTAATACGGTTGAGAGTAAAATATATATCTTTATATATATATAACAGCAACCTCGAAACCCAAATAGTCGATAGTTTCAACTTCCAATATATTTATAACTCTTAATACATACATTTTACTACTTTTTACCATATATATATTTGGCTGTCGCTTTTCCTATTACTTTAAAAGTTAGGTCCAAATGCTGAAAGTTGGCGAAGCATTAGACACCAATGGGCCCAAGATTTGTGATAAAAACACACCTCTGATTTTGAATCCACAATTAACTAACTTAGAGAAATGTGCAAATAAAAAATCTTTAGTTAACGTGATTTCTATCACAAATCTTAGTCCTATTGGTTACTAATGCTTCGCCAGCTTTCGGCGTTTAAACCGTAAATGTTAAAGTATTAACTACACATATACATGGCGTTTCAGTGGATATTCTATCTCTCATCGTCTGACCCGATAGACGAATTCTGGTGTTGAGCGAAAGGTCTCTTGGGCAGACAAAAGATAGATCTGTTATTTTTACAATCACCTCCTTTTTAATCCGTAATGGACAAATTAAAAGGAATGGGGAGAAAACTTTTTACTTATAACTTATTATAATTAATTTAAAATAGTGTTGCAATTATTAGTTTCCCAACAGAGTGTAAATCTTCAATAACAGGTGTATTGAATTTGATAAAACGATTACAATTATGCAAAGAGAAATTTGAAATATGTTAACAATATAATTTTTAATCTTTTTGTCAGGCACTGAAAAAAATGATGGTTCAGGAGTGTTTGCAATCCACCAAAAACGAGGTGTCATCACAACAAAAGTTATACTGGATCATGAGGAACAGAATGAATACGTGCTTACAATAGTGGCTCGTGACAATGGCTTATCTACTCTGGAGGCTCAACTTCAACTTACGATTAAGGTGGTGGATCTCAACGACAATCGACCAACCTTTCCAACATCCACCTTAACTTTCCGTATTCCTGAAAACTTACCCATCGGCGAAGAAGTAGGGTTAGTACAAGCTGTTGACCAAGACGGTGGTGAAAATGGGCGAGTTACTTATTCTATTATTAGTGGAAATGTGTATGGCATATTTGATATAAGCAAAACAACTGGAGCGTTGTTTACTGTTGGTGAAGTGGACTATGAAATGTCATCTGAATACACATTACAGGTGAAGGCACTGGACAGTAGCACAACAAATCCTCGCAGCAATGTGATGAGTGTTAAAGTGTATATTACAGACATAAATGACTGTATTCCAACGTTTAAAACAGATCCGATCATATTTTCTGTCCCGGAAAGCGTTGAAGAAGGCACATTGATATGGAATTTTAGTGCTTCAGATGAAGATAGTGGAGTCAACGGTCAGTTGAAATATGCCATTAGTCATCAATCACCTTCGAGCATCTTTAGGGTGGACAGCAATACTGGAGCTTTGACTCTCACGAAGAAACTTGACTATGAGTCGTTTCCTGAATTCACAATTATTATAACTGCAACAGATCAAGCCAGAGAAATCGAAAAGCGCCTTTCTACTAGTGCTACTTGTAAAGTTATTGTGGAAGATGAAAATGATAATAGTCCTGTCTTTCAAACACGTAGTCGCATTGATATTCTCGAGGATGAACCAGTAGGTTTTCCTCTCGTACACATTGTCGCAACGGATGCTGATTCAAGGGATAATGGTCGGGTTACGTTTGTCATTTCCAGTGGTAATGAAAATGGGAATTTTGCAGTAGATTATGAAACAGGTAGGTTTCTTATCTGAAAAAGTAAAGTTATGAACATATAGTTCTAACAGTTGAAAGCAAATTACCAAAACTCTCTATATTGTCCATGGTTAAAATAATAAAACAATGGAAACATGAGGTATTTTAAATTATTTCTTGTTTGCCCAGAGCTCATGATAAACGTTGATACCTTTTTAAGCCAACCATTAGACGAGAAAAATAGAAATAAATCATGACTGTTTCTTAGAGTTTCATTCATTTCTCTTATTCTTTGTTTTCAGAGTTATTAATAAAATTTTTTTGTAAACTTGTATATAAACACGTTGATGAGTGTAGGAAAAACTAGTAACAGCGAAGAAGTTTACTCTTGAGTTAATCTTGTGTGATAGGTAATCTACAGTGTTCTCATGAGTAAAGATATTTTAAACTTGTATAAATAATTCGATGGAACTAAGTACTTTCTAAATAATGGTCCCCCGATAAGACAGCGGTAAGTCTACGGTTTACAACGCTAAAATCAGAGTTTCGATTCCCTTCAGTAGACACAGCAAATAGCCCAATATGGCTTTGCTATAAGACAATCGCACACAATAGTGAAAATTAATTTTTAATATTACGAGAATGCAGTGTTTTTAATGTAAACGACCAAAATTATAAGTTAAAGTAATAAGTAATGTCATTAAATATTTTAAATTATAAGCATAAGAACATAGTTTTATTTAACACCAATAAAATTAAAATGCTAGTGTCTTAGCCTACAGGGCTTTTGCGCATTTTGGCAATGTTTTTTTTTTCTTGTATTATATATGTGCCTACGATGTAATAATGAATTTTTATTAGCATACAGAGCAAATTAAATAAAGCATTTTAATAAGTAAATTTTCTTTTGAACTTCGAGTTTTTTGTTGTTAACATAGATAGATAGAAAATACGATTAAAGATTTCTTTATTTTGAATCAAGATTGTTGTGATAATGATACAAAATAAGAAACTTATTATCGATCAAATTTTTTGGCTAAAAGCTGCAGTTATATGATTTAGGCTACAGGGTATATAAATATATATATATGTGTGTGTGTGTGTGTGTATATCGATAACAAAAACATTACTTAAGTGAAAAAAAAACGTCAAGTTATAAAAAGAGCCTAGCCATGTAAAGTCTAAATATCAGACACCCCAAATAAGTTAGAAGAAAGAAATGAAGAAACCTTGTTATCTACTATTAATATTATAGTAATGTTAATATCATTATAAGGTGTTCAACATTGTTCAAACTGCAACTCGTATCTACATCTCAGCTTTTTCAATGATAATTATGTGCTTGGTGTGGGCCAAGGCTGCTCCAATTGTTTCTTCTAACTTGTCTTGTGTGTTTGGTTCAAGCGGATGAAGATAAAGATAGCAGTATGAACATTGTTAAATATCTCTAATCAAGACACTCTACCGTGTGTCTTGTGGCAAAAAAACAAAAAAAACACAACAACAACAAAAAAACTTGCAGGACACACTGTGTGTTATTAACAGGAGTGATAGTTTAGCGATATTCTACCTTCTGTAGCTTGGACTGTGGTAATCCAAACTATCATATATTTGCAGTGGATGTGCTCTACTGGAATCTTACTTCACATACCAGATTTCAAGGCAATCCATTAATAAATACAAGAGATATAACGTCTCCAATTTTGATTGAGTTTCTTTCCATTTTTTCTTCTTCGCACCAAAATTACGAAAACTTTATTTGGTAGTAAAACGTACTTAACTTTTATGGATTTGATTTACAAATTTGTTACATTGATATATATTTACAACCTACAATTAGTAGTCTCATTTGGTGTATAAATAAGTCACATGTGCAAAGTTAATCAACAAAAACCGTTCAAATTTAACGAAAATTTTTGCGCACGCCTACGCAAAAAGTAACGTCAGCTATCGATCTAACGTTTTTACTACAGCTTCACCTAAGAGAAAAAATGAACCGTTTCTAGTTTTTTGTCATTGGAATTAAAGACGGCTGATTTCGACCAGCAAAACTATAAAATGAAAGACCATGCAGATACATAAGTATTAGTTAGGCCAAGCAGTTTCTAGTTTAAGTTTCGAAAGAATCATAGGAGTGGACGGTTATTATTCATTATTCATTGCCAACTTTTAAGCACAAATTCGCTAAATGTTATCAAATTATTCTAATTAAAGAGCGTTTAGCGTTACGTGATATTAGCTTTTACAATTAGCTTAAAAAACGATGCTTGATATGGCTGTACAGATTGCATGGGGGTGATGACAAGAAACTGTTACTCTAAATTCCATGGCATTAGTATAAAGGTAGCTATTAACACCTATTTTATAGAGGAAAACTACCACCATATATTTTAAAGAATTTGGTTCGTTCTGTAAAGTAAAGGTCTGTTACGAATAATAGGTTTGTGATCCTAAGGCTAATGTTAGTTACTAACGAGTATCACTTTCTTAGTTGGTGTGGTTCTTTGGTGTGTATTGACAAAAGTAATGAAATCTAATTTAAAAACCTTAGATGCGAAAAAAGGTGTGGCCAAAAAAGGTTTTAGCGTGCAACTTAAAGGAATGAGATCAAAATTGGCGGCCAAACTGGTAGCAACACTTATAGCATTGATAATAGTTTTACAGCAAATATTCGTTCATAGCCAGGCCGCGTTTTTTTTTTGTTTGTTTGTTTAATTTGGGGCATGATGGTGGTAGAATCCTTTTTTGGCTGCACCTTTTTTTTTTACACCTAAGGTGTTTTTGATTAGATAATAATAAGATGAATAATGTTAATAATACTATTAATAACACAACTAATAGTAGATTACAAAGTTACCTACATTTTTCTTGTCACTTGGTTTATGTATCTATCTACACTTTATTTGACTACGCTCCTTTTATAACTTGGTATTTTTCTCACAGTGACAAAATTTTTGTGATAGATATCACTTCTTCTTTCACACGCACATAGCACTTCCAGTGCTACATGAATTACACGTTTAATGTCACTAGTTTTGGTTGTTCTCTGTCAAATTCTAGATTAGTCAATGTTACAATATATTTAGTGTGTATATTCTATTGCCCACTTCAAATCATCCAACTGGTAGGGCCCATTCAGAAACATGTGATTTGTATGCAATCTTAAGTCCATACTCATAATTAAAGTCACAGTGTAATATACAGAGCGTTTCAGATTCGATCATATCCTAGGACACGCTGTTTGAAATATTTTTATATTTTCATTTTTACGAGTGAAAGCTCATTTTTAAAACGTGAATAAAAGTTAAATATAAGTGATATAAACGTCACAGCGACACACTTCCTGGTTTATTTTGTTGCTGAGAAACAAGTGAAATGTCGTAATGTTTGAATGTCGTGTAATTTACATACAGTGTTTCAAAAATCATTGCATTTGTTGGAAAATATGGCAAGAAAGAGCAAAGGAGAAGTTCGTTTTTGCTTTACTTTGACGTTTTATTTTTTCTTACTGCATGATAGATATTGAGTTTTTTCCCCCACACATATAAACTAAAATTGTTTCAAACTACATATTGAAATTGGAACAGTGCTTCTAGCTGATGTAGTTAAGGTATGCCAATCCTCTAAACAGCAAAACTATCCGCGCTGTATAGAGTCATTGGTAGTCCTCCGCCATTTTTTTTATTGAATTTGACTTTGTGATGCAAAGTGTTCTTGCACATTCGAAGCCAGATTATAAGTGAGAGACAGTTGTGAAGTATAGAGAGGTTTTCTCAAGATAGAGAGCAGAATCAGTCAGAACATTTGCGAGAAGTATTTGTAATCTGTGCTTACTATTACGCGTATTGGGTTACGTTGTACAAGTAAGTTGATTTGTTTTACGTAGGTTAACGTCACTTGTAACCTAGTACTACGCGTTAAGGCAAAGTACAAGTGTTCAAGCTTGTAGAAACATTAAAGGACGAAATGTATTATCATCATGTGGACTGGACTTGAATTATTTACACCAGATAATATAAAAGAACCTGTCAACAAAAAACAATGTTACAATAAGATGTTCTTATCATAGGATTCTCTGCTCTAAAATAGCCTCATTTGACCCCAGAAACGCATGCTCTGTTATAACACTTATACATTCCCTTTAAACCTGATATTAAATAAAGCTTTGAAACATAGTTACTTATATATCCACATATATAAGTTAATTCATTTAGCAATCAATGATCGTTCTAAAGATATGATTAAGCAAACTATATGTCATCATCAGTGTAAGTACAAATTCCAGGAAATGTTTACATGATTTGTGTTGTTACATACATATGTGTGTGTATATATAATGAAATACATAGCTCCAATACTATTGATTACATTAATTGTTAACAGGTGATTAAAATCAGCACTATAAAACAATAATGAATTTAATATAAAATAAGCATTAAAGAGGTTTTGGTAGTTCCCATCGTCAGTCTTAGTTGTCACCTTAAAGTCATGGTGACAACTAGGACTGACATCGGGAACTCTACCAAAATTACTTTAATGCTTATTTTATATATATATATTATTTCTACTCTAACTCTTTGGTAATGACGGAAATTCGCTCATTGAAATTGTGGGAACATTCCCTTGTAAAATACTTGCAGTGAACCTTAAGATAAATAGGAGGAACCAGCACTCTCTACATAGTATTTTGTACTTTTTGTGTTCAAATCTTGTGTACTTTTCGGATGTTTCGAGAAGAAAATAAAACGCTGCTATCATAAAAAAGTGCGTAACTAGAGCCAAGGTCATTGATCTTGGCAGTGAACCAGTTAAACTAGTAATAAATGACCTGAACACACCCATCCTAGCATATTTGTGTTTTCTAGTCAATGCATTAAAAACTTAGGCACAAAGCTATGCGATGTGCTATCTATAATCTGCCCACCTCGGGTATCGAAACCAGAGTTTTGACTTTATTAGCATTCAGATATGCCGCTGAGCCACAAGAGGGCTCAGCTCAAGCTAACTAGGACGATTGACTTGCTAATTCGTCAGTTTTTTTATTACCCTTCTATAAAATAGGATATCAAATAACTTATATACTTTTAGCATTATATATAATATAAGAACTTATTAGTGAAATTTGAGAACTCAATAATATGTAAAACCAAACTACGTCTGCTCTACCCAATGCCAACGAAGCATTTCGCTCAACACCAGGGATCGTTAGGCCAGCTGGGATACAACAGACACGGTAGTGGTCGAGACGCTTTATATTGTTACGTCTCCGTTTGTTAATTAACTTTCCGTAACTTCGTTCCGACGAAACTTTAGCGACACAAGTCCTTACTTAATAAAAGTGGTTTATTCTTTCCGAATACAACTTTACGATACACTTATTTTCAACAATCGCTCTATAACAAACGCTATATCAACGAACTTGCTCAATAATACTCTCTGACCGCAGATCAATTACTCACTATCTACACACACATTACATTATTGTCACGTTGTCACCCTCTTTTATATACCAGACTACCCTATATCTACTAAATGCTAGAGCATTCGCCAAAATACAGGTT